TCTTTTTTCTAGACATCTCTCGTCCTGGTTTATTCTTATGTAAACCCGGTGAATACAGTCACTCTAGCACGTTTGGTAAAATGAATTGTGTCACCCGCTGGTATTGATGCACCTGTGTTTAGACCACATTCTTTGAGAGGTGGCATGGCTTCCAAAGCTTGTTCTATATGTTGTCAGAATATCTTTTGAAGGCTGCAGACTGGTCTTGAGCAACCACGTTCAGAAAATGTTATTTCTGCTCATCCTCTCACTGTAGTTCTTCTGATATCTCACAGCTGTAAATTAGCAAATATTATCTTCTCTCCCTAAACAATGGTCACTCCGGTACCTGCGTACCTTTTTCAATTTTGGACCTGGGTTTCTTCTTCTGTTCACTGGTACGGATTGGACTTTATCGTTTGCAAAGATTGAGTGATTTATTGTTAATTATTCTGTTTATTTTTTCAGATGTATCCTTAAGAAAGAGGAGTGGCTTAGGTCACATGTTGGGATAGGGAATGTGCAATATTATGAGTGACTAATGTATTATTATGGTTAACCCTTTATGGATGTGTATGTTTTTTTTTCTTCTATTGTACATTATTTTCTTTCTTCGATGCTAACAGATTAAAGAAAGAGATAAGCAAATGTTTGCCTCCGTGTCTTTAAAGCAGCGCTGTCACACTGAACTTACCTTTCCCCAATCACTTCCTCTTCTCTTGCTCTCTCAGAATCTGTTCTTTTTTTATTTTTTTTTATTTCTGATCTAGTTTTCTTTAAAACATAAGAAAAAGTAGGAACTACTACTTTTCCTACGCTTGACTTTCTTTGACCAAAGGAGTAGTTGCAAGGGAAGGTATAGTGCCAGGAATAGAAAGCTGTATTACTGGCACTATCTCTTCCCCTGCCTCCTCCCTATCTCACACCCCTATCCTGGTAATAAAAAGTTTAAAAACCCTTTATTTACTTAACTGATCCCAGCACCGAGGGACATCTCTGACGCTCCGCACCCGCCTCCATCACGCGACGACTGGGCGCTAATGTGCATACGCGGCAGACTCAATACTTTTCTATGGGAAAAAATCTGACGCTGGATGTTCTCCAGCGTGAGGACATCCAGCGTCAGATACCGGACCAAAGGTCTGTTTCGATCCAGGAAGCCCTCTGTAGGCAGACTTAGTGCCCTGCGAGTTGGGGCTATTAAACTAAATGGGGGACTTAGTGTCCCCCCCCTCAGCCCAACCCAGTAGCGGCAGATGGGAGCCCTAGTTAACAAAAGGGAGTGAGACCTATTGCTTCCCCCTGGCCCCACCCCTTAAGCGACAATAGGGGGGGGGGGACCTATTTGACTCAGACGCTGTAGCAATTTGACTCAGAGTTCTCTGACAGGTAAATCTTGAGCCTTGCAGGTAAAAACCAAAGAAAAGAGTTACTTGTGGACTATCCCAAATCCCTATGCATATTTAAATAACTGGAGGGTTTTTAGTATTACTCCAATGGCCATTAGATGTAATCCCACCTGCCACGTCAAGGCAAACCTCGTAGGTGGGTTCTACACTAACAATTCACCTTGCTTCCTTCTGCTGTAAAAAAGAAAATCTGTAATCAGACAGAGAGGGGTATTTTTCTAAACCCCTACATACTTATTAACCTTTAATAGGGAACACATGGGGCGGGCGGCAGCATTGTAACATGGCTGTGTGATACAAAAGCAAATACAAATACACAAAAATAAGTCCTGAGCTCAGACTCCCGCTACTCCTGGGTGGCAGCAATGACCATAGTACACATCAGCCCCAATACATACAATAAAAGCTATCGCAAATTGCATATCCTATGCATATTTAAATAACTGGAAGTTTTTAGTATCGCTCCAATGGCCGTTAGATGTAAACCCACCTGCCACGTCAAGGTAAACAAATGCTCAAGATTTACCTGTCAGAGCACTCTGGTTGGCTTAAGCAAGTCAAATTGCAGGGTGTGGGAAGGCTTTATAAGACTGAGCCCCCGCCATTGAAGATATTTTTTATCGCTGTGATTTAAAAAAAAATAAAAAAATCTAACGATCTAGTCTTTTTTTTATCTTATTAGTTTGGAGGCCTTTCTGGATTTTTATTTGGCTTTTTTTAGAGCTGAAAAGAGAAGCTTTTAGAAAAAAAGATCTTTATTGGTAAGTATACATTTAAAAAAATTTCAGATATTTAGTTTATTGCTCCCCTCTCATTATTATTAGGGTGAGGAGGGTAGGTAGTGTTTCGTTTTATTGGTGGGTTTGATTAGGGGATTGAGAACTTCTAGTCACATAGGGTGATCTATTATTTTATTTTATTGGTGCCACTGGCTGCTCACAGTTTAGTAAACATGCCCCTACTCACGGCATAGCGCGTAGTGGCAGGAAGGAGAGTTTAATTTCCCTTAAGCGAATATGGGGGTCATGTTGCACCCCATAGAGTGAGGGGAGCATGGGTGGGTTTAGGAAGTGGTGGGGAGCCCTGCTAGGACCTAGATCCAAACAAGAAATAAACAGGTTAAAAAAAAAAGGTGAAATGGGGGACATAAGGGCATTTGGGGGTGACTAGGGGAACAATCATATAATATTGTCAAGGGGACTAAAAAATAAAATGGATGCAGCCATGACAATAAAATCATGACTTTACGTCATGTTAATAGTAAAATCTGGTAATTTTCTACTATATTCTACAGAATGGAATTTTGCTGATTTTTTTTTTGTGATTAAAAAGTTTAAACAGAAACAATGGCAACACTAATCAAACAGTTCTTCAATAAAGAAAACCGATAAGTGTGTGACATGACTCCAGGTAAACATGCCTTTGTTTTTCACATTTTCTTTCCATCTCCTTTCTAGCATTTAACTCCATCGGGCTAACCAAACCAGGAAGCAACAATTGGGAAATTGTAACAAGGCTCATTTATAAAGGTGCTGGTTTCTCGTGGGTTTCTTTCTATCCAGTTTTCACCCCCAAAAAAAGGTATTACACAGTGGAATCACTGCACTGAGTCTGATTTTTAAAACAAGCTAGCAAGAAATTTATACAGTTAATGAAACACATGCAGATCTCCTAAAGATTTGTATGGAACAAATGTAGCCTAACTATAAACCCCAAGCCTAATTTACAGAATAGAAATCCTCTGTTTTTATATAATTGCTACTCCATTACAGTGTGACTTCTCTCATCGTATATGTACGCTTGGAGTGCACAATTACCCTAGACTACAGGTAGATAGCATCCAAGGTTGACCGTTAGTGATGTCGCGAACATTAAATTTTCGGTTCGCTAACGGCGAACGCGAACTTCCGCAAATGTTCGCAAACCAGGCGAACCGCCATAGACTTCAATAGGCAGTCGAATTTTAAAACCCACAGGGACTCTTTCTGGCCACAATAGTGATGGAAAAGTTGTTTCAAGGGGACTAACACCTGGACTGTGGCATGCCGGAGGGGGATCCATGGCAAACCTCCCATGGAAAATTACATAGTTGATGCAGAGTCTGGTTTTAATCCATAAAGGGCATAAATCACCTAACATTCCTAAATTGTTTGGAATAACGTGCTTTAAAACATCAGGTATGATGTTTTATCGATCAGGTAGTGTAAGGGTTACGCCCGCTTCACAGTCACAGTAACGCACCGCAAACATAGGCAGCTCTCTAATTAGGCGGTTTAGGCAGCCTCCTAAGGCCTCGCGCTGGCTGGGGCCTCGCGGCCGCCTAAACCACCTTATAGCAGACTGTGTCAGGTCCTCGGTCATTGACCGAGGACCTGACACCAGGAGGGGGGCCGGTATGCCGCCGGGTGCGAGGCCCCTCCTGGCTGCCCGTCCACCATCGCAGAAACAGGTCTGCAGCTCCGCAGTGAGCAGAGCTGCAGACCATGTGTCTCGCGAGAATTGGCCAATCAGAGCGTTGCCGCGGGTTACCACGGCAACGCTCTGATGGTCTTGCAATATTACACGGTCTGCAGCTCTGCGGAGCTGCAGACCGGAAGAAGTGGCCACTGGACCACCAGGGAAGAGAAGGTAGGCTCCCTCACCACCCTCAGCCTCCCCCCACCAGCCTCCCCACGCCCCCCACCAGCCTCACCACCCTCAGCCTCCCCCGCCACCAGCCTCACCACCCTCAGCCTGAGGTGATGCTGAGGGTGGTGTGGGAGGTAGTGAGGCTGGGGGTGGTGATGCTGAGGGTGGTGTGGGGGATAGTGAGGCGGAGGGTGCTGTGGGGGGTAGTGAGGCGGAGGGTGGTTGGGGGTAGTGAGGCTGAGGGTCGTTGGGGGTGGTGATGCTGAGTGTGGTTGGGGGGTAGTGATGCTGAGGGTGGTGGGGGTAGCGAGGCTGAGGGTGGTGGGGTGTAGTGAGGGTGTGGGGGGGGTAGTGAGGCTGAGGGTGTGGGGGGTAGTAAGGCTG